TGCTGGTTGCCTGGGAGAAGAGACCAACCCCCACCTGACTCCAACCTCCTGTCAGGGAGTTGCAGAGGGTGAGAAGGTCTCCCCTGAGCCTCTTCTTCTCCAGGAACTGGGAAGCTTCATCCCCTGCTCCTGGCCGAAAGAAGGAGGTGGGCACAGGCATCATTAGCATGGTGAGACCTGCCCCGTGGCTCCTCCCGCGGGCTGAGCGCTGTCCGCGCCGCGGGTGCTGAACCAGGCGGTGCCTCTCCTGTCCCCGCGGAGCTGAGTCCCTGCGCCTGCCATGGCCTCGCTCCTCGGCCCCGGTAAGTGCGGTGGGAACGGGGAAGGGGCAGCCCCAGCCTGGCCGGGACCCTCGTTTCTCCCCGTCCCTCCCTGCCGCTCCATCCCCGCGGGATATCCCCGCGCTGGTACCAGTCGGGTACCACTGCTCGGAGAGCATCTGCAGGAGGTGAGGAGTGGCACGGGTGAGGAGACCCACGATGGGACTCCTCGTCTAAGCAAACAGCCACTTGTTTGCTCACTGGAGAGTGTTTGGTGCTGGCGGTGCCACGCAGAGGGTTGTTGGTGCTTCTTTTGGGTTTGAGTGCTTCTTGGGTTGGTGCTTCTTTTGGGTTTGAGGGGAAATCAACAAAGCTGGTGCAGAAGGATTTGGTAGAAGAGAATACAGTGAGACAGTGTGTTTTAATTTCTGTTATTCTCCTTTTTTTTCCCTCACTGTGTATTGTATATGTGCTGCCTCTTTCTTCAGCATCCCACTGCTCTGAACTTTGATTCAGCTGTTAAAAATATTCTGTAGGTTGTTCTGCCCCAGGTTTTGTTAGAATAAAGTTGTTCTTTATCACTTTTGCAACTTTACTCTAGATTTATTCATCTATAGTTTGCCATACTCCTTCGGAGAGAGCTGGTTGCTGCTCTTGCCATTAGATAGAAACCACAGCTTGGTTTCTCATTAGTGATTATAGATAAGAGATATAGATTATAGACAATAATTCAGCAATGTTAGGATTGCAGAATTGGGAAATGTAATTCCTCCATTCCTCAGTTCCCAATCTGCAAAATGAAGGTGCTAAAATGTTCTTTTTTTTTTTTTTTACTTTAGACATCAAATTCTTCAGAACAGAGAATTTTACACCTACTCAGTGAATCAATACACACTTCAATAAAAACACAGACATCTGTAGAAATTTATATGTGTGTCTTCATGTCAATATGGGTCCCTCTAAAAGTTTTTGCTACAAGCTCTTAGTTGCCTTGAATTCTTTTAAGCAGAAAACAGGCACTTAATATTCCAAACATGAGTTGGAATAAAGTGAGTGACTAAAGTAATAACAGTCAATTTAAGCAATTATATAAGCCACAGTGCACTGGATTCTAAAATCACATGGGACAGTTTGTTTTGTGTATGCTTCTGGCAGTGTATCCCTCTGTTCTGCTAAGGAAACAAAGGACTCATCCACAATATGTCATTAGGTCTAGAGAAGTCCTTTCTTAGACTGAAAGAGATTCATTTTGCAAAAGCATCATCTCCTTTTTGTGGGCACAGTTTCCAGGTGGATTTGAAATAAGCAGCAGCCTGAAATAACCCTTAAAAAGGAGCAGGAGCTGCTAATTGGCTGCTCAATCAGTCCTACTTTGACTATCCATTTTCAGCCACTGGTCCTTGAGAGCTGAACAGGGGGGAGACAGCACAGAATCTGTGCTGTGACTGCTGCTCAGATGAGTGAATCTTCTCTTGTGCTAGTACCTACAAAATAGGTAAATAATCATTCAGCAAAATACTTTTTCTTAATAATTTCCTGACTTTGCAATTTGTATTGGTTTATATATACAGCTATTTTCACCTGTAAGGTATTTGGCAACTTTTTTTTCTCCATCATCTGAATAAATAGTGAGTAATTTCACAATTAGAAAGACCTTTTTGGAAATGGTCCCAGAACTAAAATGTCATAATGAGCCAAAATTGTCCCTGTGGATGGGCCAGCTGCACATTCCTCAATGTCAAGAGACAGGAGCTGTTTCTATCAATTGGCCTTCAAGGCTGACATACAGAGCCTAATAGAGTGTTTTCAGGCTGGAAGTCACTGAAGTCATAAACAGCCCTGCACAGAGCTGAGAACTGGCAGGAATATGCACAACTGAGAAAGGATTAACACCAGCTATAATAAGCACCTGTGGCCTCTTCTTTGTCTCATAGGCACAGTAGATGCTGTTGCACCTGTCAATTATGATGGATTAAATGTTGCTTTATATTTATTAAAATGCATCCAGAAACTATTCCCTACAGCCACACTGTTATATCATTTCCAGAAGGGGTGGCATCACCTCTGAACAGCAGTGGCTCTTTTAGATCATTAAGAGGGATATTTGATATGTAATTTCTTATTCTCAAATGTATCACTGGGAAAATTTAATTTCTCTGGATAAGGCCTGAAGGAATATTTCATGCCTCTTGCACATGAGGGAAACTACTCAAATTCCACGTGAGCTTACCTGAATATGAGGGGGGAAAAAAGGATACTTGGTCTGGAAGTTGCTGTATCTTTCAATAACTGAGGAAAATGTTTGTATCAGGTGTTCAGCAGCTAGTTTGATAAGGCCAAAATCAGTGTCTGAAACAATTTTATAGAAAATAAAGACACATGGTTACAAATTAGAGGTGGTGTGACTGTGGGAATGTTGATAAAAAAGCTAAACCCCAGATAATTTGTCTTTTCTTAGCAAGGCAATTTAATTTTCTACTGATAAGTCACAGGTAGTGCTGCTTTAAAATTCTTTACCTTGAAATCCTCATATCTGTCTTCAGTTTCAGAAACTTTTTATGCAATCAACTGGTTCAATGTATTGAGAGAAGCAGATAAAGACATAAATAGGAAGGTTCCTTTCAAGAAATGATGCATCTGTGAAGTAAAATCAAAGAGGATGAACAGTGCTGAATTATGAAATCAAATTTCATTTTTTATCTAACAGCTGTGTTACTGCCAAGTCTCTGTCACAAGATCTAGTCATAGGAATTCCTGTGTAGTTTGCCTGAATGAAACTTAATGCAAATAAAATCCTCTTTTGTCTGAATTTTAGACTGTTTTCCTTGCTATAATTTATTACGCGTCTCAGAACTGCAGCAATTTGTGTATATCTATACACTGGTGGCATTTTTTGCTACTGTTGGTGTTATAATAATGTGGCAAAATCAACACAAAATATTCCACATTGCAACTTTGGAAAGCAAAACTGAGGAAAAGTTTAGTTCTGTTAAAAAGTAACTCAGTAGCAAATTTGAATCTACAGATAAACTACAGTAAATTAGACTTTTATAATCTCTGTGTAAAGGAAAAAGGTTTTTAATAGTCATTATATTCTGGTTTTGCAGTGTTGTTCATGTATTTCACATGTATATCTGCTGTCCAGACTGCTGACTGTCTGCGCTTGAGGGAGCAATGTATAAATGCTGCAAATGGATGTGAGACTGTCTGGAATGTTGTTGAAGAGGCCTGCAATATTTCAGGTAACCCTTTATGGTGTGCACAGCTTTAATTTGAGTGGCTGTGTGGTTGCATATTTATAGTGACCACAATATTGCTGTGGGAACTGAGCGAAGTCAGTGAGATTGCAAAGAGAAAATGAAGGCAAAAGACAGTCAACTTCTGAAATCCTTGACAATGCTCAATGCTATTATTAGTAACAGTCACACTGACTCTTCAATAAGGTGATAAATTTTTGCACTATGAGCAAAGTCAGAGTCTGAACCAGCTCATGAAGTCTGAACTCGGCAGAAATTATGCGGTTGTGGGATCCTGTTAAACAAAGCCAACAGGCAGCTAAGAAAAATGTTCCAACTTTGTTTTACATACTTTGGAAGAGTTGATCTGCCCCATCTCTGGAAGTGTTCAAGGCCAGGATGGATGGAGCTTTGAGCCACCTGGTCAAGGGTAAGGTGTTCCTGCCCGTGACAGGAGGGTTGGAACGAGATGATCTTTAACATCCCTTCTCAACCCAAACCATTCTATGGTTCTGTGGATCTATGATCTCACACAGTACTCCAAAACATGAAGTAGTTACAAACAGTAATTGTAAAATATTGTATTAGAAGAAGAAACAAATCAAATAAAGTCTCAAAGAAAGTTG